AAAAAAATCATCACACTTAAATAAAAAAATGTTGAAGAATGCACTGTAACCTAATCCTTGTGATTGGATTTGATCATGCAGCTAGCTAGGGAGAGGATGCTTCACCTGAAACTTGTGGTAGCCGAGTCTGTAAAACACAGTACACTTGGATGACATTATTTTCGTTGTTGATGCTAATTGGATATTACTAGGCTGCTATGAATTTCCAGTTATGTCTGACAGTTGATATTCTGTCTTGATTTTATACTTCAAAAGAATTGTCCATTTCTATTTGCTTGGAACAAATTTGTTTGTGTAGGTGCCGAGCATGTTCATCATAGCACTTTTGTCTTTTCGTGTGCAGTTCGCGCTTTACAAATCTACTTTGGTTGGAGATGGCCTTAGTGTGCAGTTTGCAGTTTTCAAATCTACTCTGTTGTGGCTGTAGTTTCTTCATTTTTATTTCTGCCTTTGTTTTGTAAAATAAGCTATACATAACAAAAGAATTCAAGAAAAATATAAAAAAAAAAACTAATGTTCTAGTAGTCCCTTTTATCTCCTTACTTTGGCAAAATTATTTATGTGTCCCCTAAACCTCATCTCCGTTGAGAGAATTTATCGGAGCGGCAACATGTGACACGCAAAAATTAAAACATGACTGGCAAAATTTAAAGTGAAATCACAGATTTCTCAGATGGTACCAATTCTTATTATTTTTACCTCTTGCTCCCTCCCTCACTAGAAGACAACAAGAAAAGAGTTTTTCATGAAGACAAGAGAGAGCACTTGTTGCGTGTCTTTGCAAATAATGACAAAGAAGACTGTCGCACCCTTGGCCAGTAAAAAAATGTAGTACGAGCTGCATTCTCACCATGCTACATGTAGGATGGAGATTACATGATACTAATGACCACCAGGCGTAGGATAGGGAATATTCATGGTATTATCACTTATCATTTCCCAATGATTGTATAGAAGGAACTATAAATAGATGCATGTAAAATAATATTTAAAATAAAATAATTAAAATTGATTTGATGTAAAAGTATGAGAGAGATGATTTGAAGTGATAGTTAAAATAATGTGAGTAGATGAATAGTAAATTAAGGTTGATGTGGTGTATATGATTGATTGATTGATATTATTTAATTATATTGGTAATATTGATGATAGTGAGGTTGAGTTAAAGTTGAGTTAAAAAAAGTGGTTGAGTTAAAATGTTGGAATTTTTTTGAAAAAATCGTATAAACAAACATGCTTAACTTTCCTATTCCTACTCAAGTTGCCTAACAAGATAGGCTAGCTAATTATTTAATTATCAATACTAAACAAGTACTAAAAAAATAAAATGAGAGTCCTAATAAATAAGCAAAAATACTAGGAAATAAATATGCTAAACACGAAGCCGGTCATATTTGTCCAAGAATGCAATCGCGGTCTCATCTCCATCATCCTCCCCCAGTTGGGAAGGATTCGGCCGCGAATCCGAACAGGTCTCGTCTCCCTCAGAAATATCACCAGTGAACGGTACCAAATGCTTGACGTTAACAACGTCAGAAGTGCGAATATGGGATTGAAGGCGGAGACGATAAGCATTGGGATCGATTTTCTCGAGCACCTCAACCGGATCAATCTTCTGGGCAGACAGCTTGTTGTATTCATGGGAAGTGAACCTGTCCTTTGTTAAAATTGCCCAAATAAAGTCGCCTACCTCGAATTCGACATGTTGTCGGCGAGCATCCGCCTGCCGCTTATAAGAGGCCGTCGTCGCTTCCAACCGATCACGAGCCGCCGCGTGGACCCGCTGCAAGTCGTAAATGAGGTCCGAGGCACGCCGATCAACCACCGTGGACGACGGTAAGGCCACCAGCTCTGACGGGCCGCGTGGCTGCACAGCATAGATGACCTAGAACGGCGAGAACCCCGTGGCCCGACTAACAGTGGAGTTGTGAGCAAACTCAACCTGGCTCAAGCGTTGGTCCCAACTCCGGAGGTTGTCACCTACCAGACAGCGAAGCAGGTTGCCCAACAAACGATTGACCACCTCTGTCTGGCCGTCCGTCTGAGGATGGTATGCACTGCTGAAGTCTCGACGAGTGTTGGCCATGCGCCATAAACTCTTCCAAAAGTAACTCAGAAAACGAGTCTCGCGGTCAGAGACAATAGCAGACGGCAGGCCATGCAGGCGGTCAACCTCATGAAAAAATAACTGGGCCACGTGAACGGCGTCGGTGGTACGCTTGCATGGAATGAAGTGCACCATCTTTGAGAAACGATCCACCACCACGAAAATGGAATCGAAACCTCGCTGTGTACGTGGCAAGCCCAACAGAAAATCCATACTATATGCATGCCACGGCTGAGAGGGAATTGGAAAGGGGCAGTACAAGCCGGCATTAGTCGCAACCCCTTTTGATACCTGGCAAATCCGACGGCGTCCCACAAACCGCGCGACGTCACGACGAAGGGACGGCCAAAAATACGAACGACTCACTAATTCGACCGACCGGTCACGACCCACATGTCCCGCCCCATGAAGGTCAGCGACCAGTCGTTGTCGCAAGCTGCAATCAGGAATGCAAAGATGCACACCACGAAAAAGAAAACCATCCATCATAGTATAGTCCTTGAAAGGTCCATGTGCGAGCTCGCGCACAATCCGTCCAAAGAAGGGGTCATCGACATATGTCTCCCACAAAACATTGAAACCCACCATGAAAACACGCATGTCTGTCAAAAGAAGCGCCCGACGGCTCAAAGCATCTGCCACTCTATTCGAAGCACCGGAGCGATGCTTCAAAACGAATGTGAATTGTTGTAAGAAGGCTGCCCAAGAAGCACGGCGCGTGGAGATGTGATCCTGAGAGGCCATATGACGGAGGGCCTCGTGGTCCTTATGAAGGACAAACTCACGATGAAAGAAATAATGACGCCAATGCCGGACAGCATGAACCACTGCATAAAACTCCACAAAGTACGTGCTGTAGCGATCCCGAGGACTGGATAGCTTCTCGCTAAAAAAGAAGACTGGTCAACCATCCTGGCTCAAAACGGTACCAATACCGACCTTTGATGCATCACACAAGAGCTTGAACGGTCGCGAAAAATCGGGTAAAACTAAAATCGGCGTAGAAGTCAATTTGCTCTTGTTAAGAGCAAAAGAGGTCTCAGCCTCCGGTGTCTACGAAAAAACCTTACCCGTGAGGCAGTTAGTGATCGGGGCCGTAATAGAGCTAAAATGAGAAATAAAACGGCGGTAGAAGGAAGCCAGTCCATGGAAGCTACGTCCTTTGGTGAACGAAGTCGGAGATGACCAATCGCGAATAGCTGCCACCTTGCCCTCGTCCACGCGAATACCTTCGCCCGAAATCATAAAACCCAAGAAAAGAACCGAATCAACCAAGAAAAAACACTTCTGGAGAGCCGCAAAAAAAGATTCAGCACGTAGAAGAAGCAATACTGAATGAACATGCTGCAAATGATCCTCAACCGAACGACTATAGATAAGAATATCATCGAAATAAACGACAACACACTTACCTATCAACTCCCGCAGTGTCTGATTCATCACAGGCCGAACGACATGACCAGCCACTCAAATAATCCCTCCTGAATCTTAAACACCGTCTTTCATTCATCAACCGGGCGGATTCGAATATGATGATACCTGCTACAGAGATCTAACTTCGTGAAGACGGTCGCGCCGTGAAGCTGGTCTAACAAATCGTCTAAGCGAGGAATCAGGAACCGCTAGCAGACAGTGATCTTGTTGATGGCCCGACTATCAATACACATGCGTTAAGAGTCTTCCTTCTTCGGAATGATAAGGGCCGAAACCGTACAAGGACTCAAACTCCGGCGCACCACCCCACGCTGGAGAAGTTCCTCGACTTGCCGCCGTAACTCCTCATGCTCCCGAGGACTCATCCGATAATGGGGTATGTTAGGCAGTGAGGCTCCGGGTATCAAATCAATGTGATGTTGTATGTCTCGCAAAGGCGGCAGACCTGCCGGGAGCTCCTCTGGAAAACGTCAGCAAACTCAGACAACAAGGGATGGATGGCAGTGGGAGGTTCCCTGTCGCCGCTAGTCTCTGCTCCTAATAGCAACAACACGAAAGGTGCGGTGCGCATTTCATCCTGAAAAGCCGCTCGAGATAGAAAAAGTACGGGCGACAGCGTAGAAACCGGCAAAGGGCGGGGCGGTCCGGGGTGTAAAACTACCTCACACCTCCAAAAAGAAAACTGTAGGTGTTATGCCGACCATCATGTGTAGCTGCGCGGTTTAACTGCCAAGGACGACCCAGAAGCAAATGACAAGCATCCATTGGTACGACATTGCACCAACTCTGGTCCCGATATCTCGGCCCAATGGAGAAGAAAATCAAAACACGACGATCCACCATAACCTCCGTGCCTTTCTGGATCTAGGAAAGAGTATATGGCTGAGGATGAGGTTCCGTTGAAAGTCCCAGCTTCTCCACTACCTCCTGTGCAAAAATAAATTCACACGAATCGAAATCAATAATAAACCGACACACACGATTACCAACGGTGCATGTAGACTAAAAAATTTGGTGTCGCTCCACCGGTTCATTGATGGAATCGCGAGGTGCTAAACAGGACTGACGAAGAACAAGTGCTCTCCCCACATCGCCAGTAAAATGTTCCTCGACCACGTCCGGCTCTTCATAAAAAATGGGTGGGCCTTCGTAAACATCCGCAGCCCCAAATGCTTCAAAGTCATCGGCGAACAAATTACGGGAACCCGCCTCCCGCGGACATGCATTCTGTCTGTGGCCGAACTCGCCGCACCCAAACCAACGCACTCCGTCTCTCGCGCGTTGACCCACCGAACTACCAGCCGTCGTGGACGTGCTGCCCAGGCCCGAATTCCCAGCCCAGTTCGTCCCCTAGCCCGCTGATGCTGAACCTACAGACGGCCCAGCTCCAAATGAACGGCTCGTACCTGGCGACGAAGAACCACCACCACCTTGCGGGCGCGGCAAAATATTTGACGAAGAAAAATACAGTATACGGGAGACCCTAGAAAGAAAATTTTCCAGTCAATCCAAGGCAAAGATCATGCAACACAAGATGCAGTTGCAAAATATGGAAAAGGATAACCTTTCCATGACTGAGTATTTGAACATCATGTTAACCGCTGCAAATGAGATCTTTTCGATCAATAATAAGGTTATGCACATTCTTCGAGGTCTAGGCTTTGAATATGATGTTGTCGTTTTTATAGTCACATCTATGCCTGAGTCATTTTCTGTGGTGGATTTGAAAGATTTTTTATTGAGCTATGAATCCATATTGGAGTCCTTTAATTTAGGAAATGCAATGATGGATCACAACCTTCTCTTAATACCATTGTAACACCCTACTTTAAAATGCTTCAATTATCAGAGTGAAATTTTCGCTTTTCAAAAAATGCTTATAATATTTCCAAAAGTAATTTACTTATCTCGGGTTAAGATGTTGAGTTTGGACATAAAGAGAACTCTGTCATCAAATCGTGATTTAAATATTTAACCCAAATCACACATGGGGATAGATTGAATTAAAGAAATACTAAAAACGTAACATGCGTTATTCGACAACATAAATTTAATATAGCGGAAATGTAGACATAATCATCAAGTATCATTATTTAATACAGACAAAAAAATATCCTTTATTAGCCAACTTGGGACTTGACCACATGCACCAGCTCAGCCTGCCCGCTCGACCTCGTTTCCTGAAAATCATAAATAGTGGGGCGTGAGTACATAACCATGGTACTCCGCAGAAACCAGTATTCAAGTAAACAACAATAATGATCATAATATCATGGACTTGACATATATGCATATAACCGATTCTTACTGGATTTCGGACGCATCGACCGATAAATCGTGTGCACACTCTGATGGAAAAATAAAAATATTGGATCCCACCGAAACCTAAGTTAAGGACACATTGGCCTTTACTTAGGCGAGTACTCGTATAGACCTAAACTGATAGGTCGTTTCCCACTCATCGGGGAAAAACACTGACGTACATACCTTAGACACTTACGCACGTACCTTAGGCTGGGTACAAGCGTCTATAACAATTATAATACCTAGTACAAGTTCCCATCTTTTCTGCTGGTTAGTCGGAAATGCTGAAGTGCTTGAAACACTGAGGCTTTACTCCTGAAGCTACATAAAATTAGATAAAACTTATGTTAAGTCTTATACTTGAAAGACTTAATAAAATATTGAGATGTTGTTATATGCTAGACCGGTTTTGGTTCAGCTCTAAACTCATTTTTAAATCTGGATTCTTAAATGAACACTCTAAGGTTCTCGAAAAAATATTCTAAGTCCGAAAATAAATTAACTGGTTTGAACTGGATTGACTCGGTTCGGAAAAACATTAAGTATCCCGGTACAGTCTCGGACCGAAATATCGAACCGGATATCTTAAACCGACTGGTTAAATGGACCGGTTCGTTGGTTTGGACCGGCGGCTCACCATGACCCGGTTGGTCGCAGTTAACTCGGGTGCCTTGGCTCGGTTGCTAGTGATACGAGTGCCTCAGTTCGATTGCATAGGGTGCAACTGAGAACTACCGCATGCACCAGACCACTGGCGCTTGCCATACGGCTCTCTGTTCAGTACTAGCACTATTGGCACGAACACGAGCGTTACTGGGTGCTTTTGGGCACTGTCGGGCGCCTTTGGGTGTTGCTGGAGACAATGGCACGGGTGCTGACATGGGTGAGTGCTACTGGGTGCTGCCGTGCACTACCGGTGGTCACTGGCACATTGACACGAGGTGGCGCAGGTTAACATTTGTTCAGAGGCACTTCCCCGGGAAGTTAACCTCTGAACACGGTACTGTCGGGCGCTAGCGCACGCTGGGTACGTGGCAGCGGCCACAGTTGGCTCCTCGCCGGTCGTCTGGCTACTTTTCTGGTGACTTCAGACTTTAACCCATATTTGAATACATAAGGAGTCTAAAAATGTATAAAATCCATTGGATGACTCAACTCGATTTTAAAATGGTTCGGGAGTAAAAAATGGCCCAAATAGGTTCTAGGTTACCGAGTCACTTAACTCTTTTAATGTTGGGACTCAACACCGAGTACTCCTCTGTATTTATTATGATTTTAGGTACTAAGAGCTTGACAAATGCTCTCATGAATGAAAACTTAGCTCGATAGATCATAAATGGCCTTAAAAACCAATTTCTACTTGATAGAGTAAATGACTTCCAAATAAGCTCAACTTTACCAACTTATTAGACATGATTTTTTAGGATTTAAGGAGTACTAAAACATGCATGGAACTTGACTTCCAAAATTAGGGGGCTTAATTAACTCAAAAATTGAAAACCTTCATGTTACTCGTGTTAAACTCGGTTTACATGCTTGATAAATCTTATAATATCAAGAACAAGCTGGAAAGATGGTTGGGAAGGTGCTTACCTTCACAAAGTTCGAAATTGAACAAAGGGATAGGCCTTCGGCTTCTTCTCGGGTCTCTCTCGGCAAAGGGGTTGTTCCGATGAGTTCACTTCTGTGACAACTGATTTGAGGTATCTCTTAAGTTTTCTTTAGTTCCTAGGATCAGCTTTGCATGTGGGAAATTGAAAAGAACAACATGTGGTTCGGTGTGATGGTGTGCCTATATTTTCAGAGTGGAGCTTATAATGATGAAGAGGCTCCATCCATTTGCATCAAAATATGCAAAGTTGGATTTTTCTCCACATCTCATCTCTCTCCTCGGTTTTAGTGCCAGAGCATGATAAGGTAAGGTTTGTCTGACTTTTCTCTAAGGATAGCTCGGGTCAAAGTCTTATTTGACCAAAGAAATGGGCTGAAAACTCATTGGGCCTCGGTTGGGCCCTGCCTGGGCGCTGGGCTGCACTGGCTGTGCTAGCGGACCGCGTGCTGGACTGCTGCAGGCCTCGTGTGCGAGAAGTTGGGCCGATGGTTGAGGCTTGCTAACCCACTTAAGTGTTAGACTAAAATATGCATAAGTTGTTGGATTGGGCGAGGTTGCACCGGGTTGGGCCAAGGGAGATGCTGGTCGCTACTCGGCCTGCACAGGGTTACTTGGCTGCGTGGTTTCTTGGGCTGATTGTGCAGGAGCTGTCGTGAATTGGGCTATGCTGTAGATGCTGGTCCGTGTTGGGATCTGTGAGGATCTCGTTATGCATAAAGGTTTGAAGTAGAAAACTTACGGCTTAAAATTTTATGGCAATCTGGCTGATCTTCCGGATGGTCGTACACAACAAACGAACAGGCTAGATCAAACGATTGGAACGTCGGGTCGGCTCGTGTCAATCGCAAATGGGTCGTGTGGATTGAATCGCCTGGTCGCGAGGTTGCGTTGGTCGAGTCGCGGGTTTCCTCCAGTTCACACGTCGCAATGGCGTCGGCTCCGAGGTCGCGGCTTGTGGCTGGTCGCGATCGACGGCGGGTCTAGTAGGCGGTCCTCGAGCCTTCTGGTCGTGGATTATCGACTGCAAGTAGATGATCACCGGATCTCGATAACCTATGGATCTTCTACTGTATTACTCAAACATCTCTTCAACTTATACCAGTGGAGCAACAAGAATAAGATAAAGCTTGAATGAAAATTGACAGTAGGAACCCTTAGGAGATTATGAATAGAGCTCCTTAATTAATTAGACTAACTGTGGGCCAAACCCACTCCTCTAATTAATTAAATAACATTAATGGGCCACCAACATTATATTATTGAACTCCCTTTTCCTAGCCCAAATTAACATTTAAGACTCCAATTATACTTGCTCGATTTACCTCCCCACGTTTAAGATATAATGTCCATTAATCAATTCGATTACTGACAATTAAGAATTAATTAATTTATTATTATTTCACCGAAGCTAGCGCTCGTTCATCACATTCTTATTATGCCGGAACTTAATCCACCTGCAGGGTTTAGCATAACAATCCTTCATGATTTCACTCAGGGGACATCATCAAACTAACACACATGGTGACCGTAAATATCCTAACAGCACATCACATTACCCAAAATAGTAGGAATATTGATCCAATGAACTGAACCTCACCCAAGTGAAACAAAGTAATATATACTATATATATCTGCTTGTTTAATATCTTACGGGTTAAGAGAACGCAGTAATTAACCGAGGCCTTGTTCATTTACGACGATCAGTATAAAATGAACTTCTCCTCTCTGGGATCCTGTTCAATACATAAATGTACTAGGTGCAACTAATTAGTTAAGACAAACTGTACAGTTGACACTACAACCGTCCGGATGGGCTGTTCATGTCCATCTAGGTTGTGAACAACTATTCTTGTTCGCAAGTAACTGATAGAGTGATATTCGGTTTGCCCGATGACGACCCACCCTATTTAAGTGCAGAAAAACAGAACGTAGAACTTATTTAATCTAACATGATTCTCATTCATAAAGGGCAAATGTGTAATAACATACAAAGCCAAGCTTTCAGTATATAACACTAACAATCTCCCACTTATACTTAAAGCTTTCGCTTTTACAGTATAGTCCTATCAATCTGTTATTCTAAAAGACCTATGTCGATCCTATTGCCATGCTCATGACTCCCATTCCTTCCACGTGTTTGACGAATGTTGTGTACAAATTATTATTTTTACCGAGTACCGAATCAGATGATTCGTTCCCTCGGTCGATCTCTCAAGGAAGGCGGTTTGGAATTCAGCTTCGGTATTGATTTCACACAAAAAGAAAATAAAATCCTAAACACTCTAATCAAATAGGGGTTTTGAATAATTACTAACTAAGAAATAATAAAAAGCAATAATCTACCTAAAAAATATGGACGGAACAAAGATGGAGAAGCTAGGGAATCGGGGATAATTAATTCGAGTTCTTAGCAAAACCGGGCAATCAATTGTTCGGTTCGAGATTGACACTCTCGCTTAAACACCTAGCGGTTCGCTCCCAATAACTCTTCGTAACAAGGGATTGAACATAGACGAACAAGCTCGAGCATACAACACAGGCCAATTATCCCAATCCCAATAACTTTTCGTAACAAGGGACGGGTCATCGACAAACACGTATTTCAATCTCAACCCATAGATTACTCAGACACGAAATTATCTATCTCATGTAAGCCTAGGTCCACGACTTCTCCTCTTTCGGTTCAAAAAGTCGCTAATTAAATTAGAAGGTGTTTAATCAACTAGTCATATAGAATTGACAAACCCTAACTCAACAAATTAACATTCAATCATTTCCAATTGCAAGATCGAAGTGTCACTCTTCGATTATATCAATCAATCAAGCAAGATTACATCAATTCCTAATCAGATTAACTCACATAAGCATGAACAATTTAAGCCTGACAAATACACGTGAAACATGAACAATCATCCCCTATCCCCAGCAATAAGATTTAGCTAAGTAACATGAATTCAACACAATAAAGCATTCCACCCCAAATAATCATTCACATGAATTAGACGAGATGAAAAATACTTACAATAAATCCAATCCGAGAGTTGAATCTAATTACAAGCTTAATTCTTAGATGTGGAGAAGAAGAAGAAGAAGAAAAATAGAAAAGAAGATGAAGAGAGGAGGAAAAATGATGAAGAAGAAGAAGGTAGGGAGGAGAAGAGAGTTGCGTTATTTCTCTGAGCCTAGGGTTCGTCCCCAGGAGGGGAAGAATGTTGTCTGTGAAGTCCCAATCACATACTTATATTTAGCAAGCTACACGGCGTGAGATTTTTTAGGCATGGCGTGAGGAGATGCGGTGCCGAGGCGTGGGACGACTGCCACGGCGCGAGGTGATGCGGTGCCGCGGCGTGACGGGACGCTTGGGTGCTGACCTCTGTCCAGGCGTGAAGGGGTCTCGCGGGGCGGGGCTTCTTGGTGGCGCGGCGTGGAGCTTTGGCGCGGCGCGGAGAGTGCTGTTGTCGCGGCGCGGGAGCCACACGGCGTGAGGTGATGTTGGGCGGTCTCTGAAGGCCTTGTGGTAGGTGCCATGGCGCGGCGATCTGGGAACTCGGGTCTGAATGAATCACTTCGCGTCTCGTGTTCGTTCGAGCTTGTTTGGATTCGGAATTTGATTCCGTTTTTTCCTGTGTGTTGCCAACAAGACGCTCTATTTAATGATGTTCACCTAGCCCACTTATCATGGAAAATAAATTCTCCCGAAGCTTTCTACCTGCACACCACAAACGAAGAAAAACTGGAAAAATATACGGAAAACACAAGAAAAACCAAGATAGAGGAAAACACGCGACAAACTACAAAACGACTCTAAAACCACAGAAATGACTCAACATGGGGGAAAAAGAATGAGAAAATAGACACGAAAAACATAACAAAAATGGGACAAACAACTCCCCCACACTTAAACCTTTGTTCGTCCCGAACAAAAACAAAAGAAAAAAAAAACAAGACTCCAGCATGGATATCGGCTTCAAATAAGAAAAGTTTCAAATTCATTGACTTAGCCGAGGAGACTTCAAAAGACCAATAAAATACATCTCAATTACAATTTAAATGGTACGCATTGACAAGACAAACTCTCAAACACGGAAATATCATGTATAATGCCTCACTCAGTTTCTTACATAAATATGAAATGGGAACGCTCAAATTGGTCGGCAATCAAGTTTTAACATAGGCTTGCTTATCGTCTAGTTCATACTCTAAAACAACCAAAGCACATGAATTTGCGAATTAAGAGGACTTCACGGGTATAAAGAAGGCACTTGGTTGAGGGGAGGTCAAATATAAAGATAAAATGGCTAGAATGAACAATTATACTCTCGAGCACATAACTACTCGAATATCTCGCCACTCATCCATAATCAACACAAAGCTAATCATTCCAAACCAAAGCTCCATACACATTCACACATGCTCAACAAAGATTGCAAATAAAGTGCCTGACGATATACATATTTTTCGTTTTTATTATTATTATTATTATTTAGGGAG